GATTTAATGAATGAGAGAAGGTAAGGCCATAATTATTGTCTTGGAGGGAAGGAGAACAAGCAAAACATTTAAACATACACAATACCAATTCACAGTGCAGGTATGTGTTACATCAGCCAGAGATGTCTCTGCAAGGCCACAGAACTGCTGCTCTTCTTCATGGCAGAGTTTGGTCTCATGCACTGCTTGGCACTTTGAAATAGCTGACAAAAAGTCCTGAATGTGCCCACACCTAAATTTTGTCTCCTCCTTCCAAGCAGGACACGTTCCACCTTTCTGTCGCACCCTTGGCTGCCTGAAATGCACAGCAGCAATATTCCCCACCTCCATCTCAGATGGGGAAAGGTGGAGGCAAAGAAACCCATCCTGAGTGTCCACAGAGCAGAATTTGCCATCACGTCCTGCTGTCACTGACATCCTTTGGGTAGCTGCAGCAAAACAGCCTGTTAATGGTGTTGGAGATTGAATTGCCCAAAACCCTTGGATGTTTGTAATGATGCTCCAGTGGTTTTTACAGATAATTTGGGAAAAAAGAAAATCTGTGCTCTTAATCATGCCCTTTATTCCATGCTGACAGTGCTTCCCATCCTAACAGTCAGCATTCATTAAAAAACAACCATTAACTGGAGAAGAGTTGAAACAGGGACAGGGGCACATATTCACTTGGGTGGGCAGGATGGGTGTGAAGTTGCTATCTGCATCTTTTCTATGCTATCTGCATATTTTTTCACATTTTTCCCCTCTAAGCCAAGATTTAGCTGAAGAGGTGGGTTCAGAGTCACACTGTCAACTCCCTTGCTGAGCATTTGGCTTGTGCTGTTAGTGAACACTTGGGGTTTCTGAGGGCTTCCAAAGTGAAGTGCTGCAGGGACAGATGAAATATTTTACAACAACAACAAAAAAGAATCCCTCAAAAAACCTTTCTTAGTGTTTCCATCCTCTGGGCTTACATTGTATACACATGGAGTAGTTGATAGCCAAAGGAGATGACTTTTTTTGGCTGGGATTTTCAGAGAGACTAGGAGGAGCACCATTAGCAGTTATCAGTGATGACAGGTTCTGTTGGAGCTGTAACTTTCTCACAGAACAAGGAGGAGTTTAACAAGTCGCTGCAGGGGGAACAAAGCGTTGAAGTTGCAGCTCTTTGAGTACCCTAAGAGCTGCTCCTTCCCAGCTCCCCAGTAAATGAGCAAAGCCTCAGTTAAGAAGTGAGGATTCTTGTATGCAGGAAATGCTGCAGCAGCTAGAAACAGGCAATTACTGTCAAATAATGGAGTGCCCAGAGGTTCATGCTGAGGGTAATCCCTCAGTAACCCCTGCCCAAACCCTTTGAAGATGCCAGGCTCTGACAGCTGCACAGACACAGGGGCTCAGCAGTGCACCGAGCTCCCAGAGCCTGCAGTCAGCACAACAAGTTATTCTTTCACCAAAATCTTCCTCTGAAATTTTAAGCAGCGGCAGATGGTGACATCAACATGTACATCACCACTTTGTGGCATTCAGGGGTTTTATTCCATTCAGGAGTGTGAGACCAAATTACTCACTCATGCCTTCTTTGGATAAGTGGACAAATAAGTTCGAATTCTGGGGGTGAAACCCAGTTTCTCCAGTCCCCTGTTGTGATCCCTGCTTGGACCTGAAAGAAGAGATTTCTATAATTCACCAACTTGCAGGTGTAAGGGAATCCTCTTCTGCTTGTTCACAGCCTGAGCGGATCATGCATTTACCTGCTGTGTGTATTTTTTACATTTTGGAGTCCTGTGGTAAATGTACTTCAATATTTGCCACTGAGTAATCGAAAAACATCTTGGAACTTTTTCAAAAGATCACTAGCATAAAAGCTTGTTCTATCTATGTACATATGTTAGTCTCCGATTTGGAAATGCCTGCTTTATGGATTTGAGCCCTCTAGATATCCTTAAACAGCTTTTCTCTCAAGGGAGAGAAAATCCCAGAGAGGGACAGTGTGATGCTAGTGGCACTCAGAAATGCCCCTGCACTGATAATTGCACAAAATGCATGGGCCAAAAGTGGGACAATGGGGCTGCCCACTTGGATGTATTCACATCCCCATAGGTGACATTTGGGCCAGGCTACACAGGTTAGTGCTAAAACCATGGGGAATAAAGGTCAGACACCTTCAGTAGGGTCTCCCAATGAAAATACTGGTTTTAAATGGAGCATCAGTTTCCCTGTCTTAGGTAAGGACAGAGGGTAAATATGTTTGTGAATGATGAGTGGCATGGAGTTCTTTCCAGGCAGATGTGCAAAATCCCTCTATTCTCTGCCCCCCTCCCCCTGCTCCAAACACAGATATTTCAAGGTTATAAATGGGGAGAAAATCTCTGGAGAGGAAGATATTGCAAATAAAATCTAATCTATAAATGTCTCTCTTTAAAGGCACTGCCCAAGCTCTCCATTTTATCTTCTTGACAAAGCAAAACAACTCAATTTTGAACTTGCTCACATTGATTTTACATCAGGGAATTCCACCAATTTCTGGGAGATTATTGATTTAAGCGAGATCAAAATCCATGCTTTTTCTTTCTTTTCCTCCAAAATTCTTTTTCATCTATTGATTATGGCTGTGTGCTGTGGCTTATTGGCTCTGAGCTAATAATGACCAAATGCTTCGGGACAAACCAAATTGCTTAATGGGCCACAACACCAGAATTGATCCCTACAGTGACCCAGAAATTAATTAAAGTAATCATTCTCGTGTAGTCACGTACCAGGGAGTCTCAAGGATTGTCACCTACCTGGCTACAGTATTTAAGCCTATGCAATTCCAGCTGTTGAAAATTTGAAGGGATCATCCACGTCTTGCTTCTCTAAGTGAGGTCAGCAGGTTGTGACCCTCACCAATACCTGATGGGCCAGGTCTCTGTAGCACAGTCAGGATCAAGCCAACTCTAAGCCAATTTCTGGCCCTCATTTCTTCTTTTTTTTTTTTTCTTTTTTTTTTGAGGGGTCAGATGGTTCACATTTATGAAAGGACATATTTCTTCTTGATCACTGAGAGACAGTAATCATTTCTTGCAGTGTTTACAAGTCTTGGTGTTTTAAAAATATATTTACAGCACTCGGCTTCCTTAGTGAGCAGATCCAGATGGGGGATAAAAGCTGCAGCCCAGGGAGGGTGTGTGCTGAGCAGAGCTGTAGCTTGCTCTTCCCAGTCCAAAGGAAGAAGGCTAGAGATTAATTTTGCAGAATGGCATAAACCCGTGTCAAATGGCATGCAGGAGCTTGCAGGGCAAAGCAGAGTGCAGACAGGTCTGGGATGTGCTGGTGGCAGGAGCAGCTCTGTCCTGGTGGAGGTGTCTGAGGCCACACCAAGTGAGGGAGTGGCAGCTGGGGACACTGATGGGGCACTGCACCCCCTCCTTAATGCCTGTGGATAAATACACCAGCACATGCTGCCTTTTGGGGCTAAAATGTCTGATTTCTTCTCTGCTCTGACTGTCCACTGAACTTTTGCCAGTTTACCAAGTTGCCCCTGAAGCTGGGCCCCATGTTTTTGTAAAAATCGGGTTTTTTTACAGTATCCTTTTTCTGTAATTCCACAGGGGCCTCTTTGTCCTTTCAGCAAAATCGCTGTAAAGCAGAGAGTTCCTCCCATGTCCAGGGGTGTGGTGCAGAGTGAGACATGGCTCTTGAAGGGGATTCAGGCCAGGAGGCTCAGGAGTGAACTTGTCTGTGGGAAATCTGAAGGCTGAGGGACCAAAATGCTTTCACAGAAGATGGAGAATACACATTCATGGACAAATCTCCTTTCTCAAATCTTCCAGCCTGCATGCTAACCTGAACAAAGAGCATGGTCCATTCCACATCCACACCTGTTCCCTCTTCCTCTGCCACCTGCGTTTGTGATTACTGGCAATACTCCTGCTGCCAGGGTGGTATTTTCCTCTGGCACACGGAGTCATCCTTCTAAAGTTACCCAAGCAATCCAATTCACATCCAGTTCACCCTGTGGGGTGAATCAGACCTGGGGACCTTTGGGACATTGCCCTGGAAGTGTCTCTGTAATTTGAACTATCACACTAATGCAAAATCACCATCTGCTGTCTCTGTTCTGTGGTGCAGATCCACGGAGCTCAGAGCCTTCAGGAACCTCTGGAGACTGTTTCATTGCCAGGTGATGAAATCCCAGAAAAGAAGAAATTAGAAATCAAAAGGGGAAACCAGAATGGCATGTGGTGTGGTCACTGTGCAGGGGAGGAGCAAAGTCTGGCAAATATTTCTGTTTGGAAAATGAATTTGTTTCAGCTGTAAAGTCTCAGTTATTCCTGCACAAGGTTTCAAACAAAGCCATCAGTCTCATTCCCCTCCTGTGTGCCCTGTAGCCCTCATTTGGGGCAGGGAAGGGGTTCAAGTGCTGCTCTTTAGCAGAAGAGAGGCCTCAGCTGCATGCCCTGAGTACATGGGGTGCCGGGCAGGGACAGCTGTCCTGGGTCAAGGGATTCCCTCACACATTAAATTAATTTGCTCCAGCAAACTTGCTTGATTAAACCTGGTCTATGTGGAGGTTTAGGGTAGAGTGAAAACTGTGCTTTCTTCCTCTCCTATTTATTTTTTTCATATGAGAGTTAATGGATTAAATAGCAGCTTTTAAGAAGTTGGCTTTTCTGCAGTTCTCTAAACCTAGGATTTTTTTTTAGGGGGGGTACTAATTGGATGCTGATTCTATGAAGCTGTTTTCTTACCCTCTCTGTGCCTTTTCCATGAAAGAAAAATATCAAATGGGGAGAAGACATCTCGGGAGATTAAATCACAGAAGGGAATAGGAGGGAAAGAAACTGATGAAACAGCACAATAGATCTCAGATAAGATACCTCAATAGAAAGACTTTTACAAAAATGTCCCCGGATTTGTGTATTTGGGTAAGGGGTCCTTGTTGGTATCTAAACCTTTAAGCACAGAGCTGCTTTCCCAAGAGCAGACTCAGCCCTGGTGCTGGGGTTTCACTGTGACCCTCCTGTGCTTTATCTGTCCTGCAGGGAAGGAGGCTGATGTCACCTGGCTGTTTGTTTCTGGAAGCAGAGAGCACATTTTCAACAGGATCCTGGAATCACAGAGCTTTATGAGGTATGGATGAATCCCCAGAATTGCTGGGAGAAGAACTTTTTTTTAACTCCTCTGGCCAGATATGGTTTCTGCCTTGAAAACACTGCACAGTGTGAATGAAGAGTGAGTGATTTTTGGGTTTTCTGTCTCTTGGAAGGAGAGACTGATTGTATAGGGCTCATTAATTATTGATGCACAATTATTATTCCTGTGTAAGAGGGAAACAAGGAGATTCCTTGCCCTGTGCAGAACAGCTCTGCAGAGAGAAACAGATGCTGGATGTGTCTGTTTAATCACATCCTGGGGCAGATGCCCAAGGAATGAGCTGAGCCTCGTGTGTCTGTCTGGTGTGCTGTAGGCACAGGCCAGCTGTGGATGAGCCTTGCCAAAGAAATAGGAGGATAATTGGGCTTTGGATGGCCTTTTAATTCCAAGACCACCCTTGCCTTGTGTTTCATCCAATGCTAAAATGGAAAGATGCTTTAGTGGCTGCAGAGTTTTAAAATCAGCAGCCTATCCTCAAGCAAGCCCTAGGGTGCTGCTGGGGATCCTGGGGGTGTCAGGGCAGCAGTGGAACCGACCTGCTCTGTCCTCCTGGGCTGTGTAATGTGCTCAGACAAAGAATAATGCTCTCGGCCAGCCTCGGTTCATGAAGGTCACCGAGGGCTGCTCGTTAGGCAGCAAAGATGAGAGTGCTGCTGCATCCCTGCATTCGAGGGCAGGAGATGAGACTGGAATCGATTGTTCAACAGTGCTGAAGATAATAAAGTTGAGATTTCATAGTGTCTGCCCACGCTGGTGAGGACATACAGACCAGTGCAGAGCTTTTACTGTGCTCACAGGGAAGAAAACTCTAAATTCCCTGGGAGCTTCAGTGAGTGCAGCTGGTCCCTGAGTGCTGCTCTGCTCCTTGGTGCCTGTCTGCATGCAGACACCTCTCGTGTCCAAGGCCTGTAAATAACTTCAGAGGGGACTTTTTTTGCAGAAAGGTTAGGCAGGGCAAGCACTTGGGGTGGATAACTCTGGAGGAATTAAAAGCAAAGGTTTGGCATGTTTCCTTCTTCAAATATATCTGAACTCTCCTGCCATGAACAAAGACCTGTTTTAATTTTCTCGCTCATGAACATGACTCATTTTTATAAACAAGAGGAGAAATCTTATTTCTACTCCTAAGTTTTAAAGTGCAATTAACAAAGGCAATTCAAGGACTTGCCCAGTACTCAGTTAGGGATAACAAGCATTGACCAATTAAATCCCTTTTGCTTTGAAAATTTGATTCCTTAAACACAAAGAAAAACTGTTACTGCTGCCTTTTCACCCTATTAAAAAAATTAAATATTAAGTTTAATTTGGCAATAATTTATTCTAAGCCAAATTTATTTGAGTCATTTTCATCTTCAAAGTCTCCTTTTTGATCTGTCACAGCTGTTGTGCTGACACACTCCATGACCAGTTTATGTCCCATCTTTCTGTGCCCAGCAAAGGCCAGTGTGGTACTATCTGTGCATTGTGGGCATAAATTAATGTATGAGAAACTTGTTTTATTGAAGCTGTTGTTTACTGATGTTACTTTTCTCCAGGGTGTGTGTGTGTTTGTATTTAAAACCCCAGCAGCATTATATCCTAAGAGATGGGTTTGGGTGTAACAAGAAAATGACCCAAGATTTCAGCCGAAGCCCAGAGAGCAGAGCTTGTGACTTGTGGAAACCTGGATTTGATTAAAATGCTGCTTGTGCAGCATTAGCACACAAGGCTCCTCTGCCAAGGCACTTCTTGCTGCCAGCTTTGCAGTGTGCTCACTGTGCTGGTGTCACTGAGCTGTGCTTAATGAGCTGAGCTCCTATGTACAGGCAAACCTCTGATTTGTACATGTGACACTGCACAGAACAGCTCGAGCCTGCTCCCGAATTTACACCACATTTACACCCTTTTTAGATGATGGTAGCTGGATTCAGATAGCTTCTCTGGGAAATGCAAACACTCCAAGCTCTCAGGTGTCTGAGTGACAAATGAATGGGAACCAGTTTGTGACAGGGGTGGCTCACTGGTCAGTGGGACAGCACCCACCAGTCACATCCATGACTGACCAAATAATTTTTCATAAAATGCTCAAGCGTGTAGTTAACAGGTCCTAGGAGAAGGAACCCCTGGTTTGACTTGATATAATGAGCAGGAGAGTTATTTGTCCTGCTAAAATGGTGAAAAGTCTGTCCCATCAAAATGGCTGTGCTGTGCTGGTGGCCTGATTTGGTCAGGGAGAGAAGTTTATAGGACAGTGTGCCACATGCAAATCTGACGTGATTTTACTGAGATTAGCTGACATGATGACCATGGGAGAGGATCCAGAGTCTTCTGGGTGCAGAAGACTCTAGAGAGTCTTCCAGTGCAATTTCACTTGACTTTCTGCAATACTCCTCCTTAAAGCCCAGTTGAGCCCAAAGGAAGATTTTGGAGGGGAGGGGTGAGAAGGGTAGAGCAGGTTGGATTAAAGGATACTCTAAGATACTGTTTGTGTCTCCATACCAAAATACCAGTTTCCCCCTGAAAGTTATATTCCCTGCTGCCAGTTCTGGAGCAGAGTCATGGCCAGGGGCTGCAGAAGGGCTCGGGAACCACCACGGGGCTGAGCTGCTGTTACTGCACATCACCCTCTGAGATCCACGTAATAGCCAGCAAGGAGTTAAACACAATGCAAAAAATAATGCTTCCTTTATTTTCTCCTCTTTCCCCTCCTCCTCCCATGTGCTTTTATTTTTGTCTTGGGCTAAGTACAAATGTTGGTTTGGTTTTCTTTTTATTTTTTTTTTTTTTTTACTTTGGCTTAGCTTATGTTGTTGTTTGATTTTTACACAATCCTCAGGTACCCAATGAAATTGCCACATGCTCAAGGGAAAACAAGTTTCATAACAGAATGACAGTAAAACGTTGCTAAAATCCTTTAGGATAGAGAAAGGATTAGAAGAAAAAAATGCAGAATAATGTAGACATTACTTTAAACACAAAGGGCTTCTAGTCCACTGACATACCAGAATCCAACAGAAGTATTCATAATTACTAATAACAAAAGGCTGCTCTATTATGACTATTCCATTCAAACTAAAACACATGTAAAGCTTGTGTGCTGGGGAGTGTATTTTGATGATAGGTCTGGTTTAAACCTAATCTGCTGAAATACAGACAGGATAGGAACAATGCTTTCTCTAGGGATCAACAACTTTGTCCCTGAACAGACTGCCTTATGTAAACACCCATAATTCTGTTAAAATTCATGCAGACAGCTTGGATTAAAAAGAAACAAATATCAAGCAAATAAACAAAAGTCATGAGCAACAGGGGCTGGTAAAGTCATTGTGGGGAAAAGTGCTCTTTGAAGCATATGCCAGTGTATGCTAAATCAAGAAAATTAATATTAAACACTACAGGTCACAATATTGAACATATGTTCCACCTTCTGAGAAAGTAGCTAGAAATCTTCCTTCTAAGACTGGACATCTTGTTTAGTGTGATTTTTAGTCTTAAAAAATCCCAGCCCTGAACTGGTAACTTAGGTGTTCACCCCTGCTTTGGCCTTCACTTTTCAGAACACTGTACAGAATAATGGTTCTGGCTTGGAGTTGCAGCTGCCACTGATTTATTCAGCAGGGCATAAAGGTGGCTTGCCCAGAAGATTTAGATAGCTGTATTTACATGGGTTATATTTTAACACAGTTTTAACAAATTTTTCAAAAATTTGTTCCCTTCCAATGTCTTTTAGTTTATCAAAAGAGATTAAAATCTGTCTTGGAATTGACACAATGACTTGGGGAAATCTCAGACTCTGCTTTAATTGCCGTGATAGGGAAAAATTTCCTTCTTTATCGGGGTATTTTTGTTTGGTTTTGGAGGGGTTTTTTGTTTGAGTTTTTTTGTAGTTGGGGTGGGTTTTTTGTTTGTTTTTTCCTCTTTTCCTTGTATTCTCACATTTAACTTATGTTCTGCATGTTCCTAGTGAATACAGGACTGTTGGATTTTCCTTAAAATTTCTGCTCTTTCTGCTTCTGCCACTTGCCAGGTTTTTACCCCTATTAAAGGTTCTGGGAAAGGTTGTGTGTGAGACATCCCTGAGACTCAACAGGACTGACTTCAGCCTTGTATTTTTAGGGTAGGCTTTGAGACTCTGGGCACCCTACTTGGGTAGCCTTTGCCACAAGAGTTCAGCTTTAATGTGGGCATTTCAGGGAGTATTCCCTACCTTTAGGTGAAGGGACAGGGAGGAAATCTGTAGGAAGCTTTTCCAAGTTGGTGGAAGAACATGGGAAGAAATAGCTGTGGCTTTGGGATCCAGCATATGGCCAGGGAGCTGGGGCTGAGGAACGTGCTGAGGGCAGGCTCTGGGATTCCTGAGCCAAAAACTTGTTTGTTTTCCTGGCTGTGTTCAAAGAAACCCAACTCTGTGTGCTTGCAAATAAATAGGGTTATACCACAGGTGCACCTGACAGGTTTTGGTTATAGAGAAGAAAAATGAAATCTTACAAGGTCTGGCTAATTACAGTGGGTCACATAACACACTTCAAAAGAGGAAAGTTTAATAACTCTTGAAGCAACTTCCTGTTCAAGGTGCTTTCTCATTCAAAATATCTATTCAGTGGATTTTCCTACTTGGAACCACTGAAATTTGACTACACCTGAACTGAAAGCCTTTCAGGGGTAATGCCATCTTTTCTTAGTTCATGACCTTATCTCCAGTTCTTCTTAGTGACCTTAGGGCAAGACTCTACTGTGACCATGATTTGCATCTTGTATGAGAACTCTCTGGAATAAGACTGAGAAGAAAAACTGGCAAATCTTGCATTCAAAAAGCATTCTCTGAGGGCTTGGTATTTAGCTCAGTTTTCAATTTCAGCACTGCTTACTTGTGTTGGAAAAGTTATTTTTGGTTGCTTTCTGCGCTTCATTATAATTCTGAAAATGACTAATTTGATGTGACATTTACTAATGTAGTATGATCAGACATAATTT